TGGAGGCAAATATACACTTTGTGGAGCGCAGTAAAACAAAGCCGTGATCAAACATCAGCGACAACTTCTTTTATCGTCAACGTGGAACGACTGCACTTATTATTAACAATTATTCATCACCTATCAGCTTTGTTCTTTGTTCCTATGTGGAACGCTGTTTGTAGCGCTGGCGCTGTGACGTCCTAAAGAATACTATAAAAGAGCTGAAAAGCCGTAGTTTAGCACTGTTTGAGTTTGTATTATTTGTTTAATCATTTTTAAGGCTCAGACTGTTAGCTTAACGTCCAGTCAGCTAAAGCACATGTAATGCGGCAAGTTAGCAAGCTAGCTAGCATGGAATTTGTGCTCCTAGTGAAAGAAAAGTTCAACATTTGGGGTTATCCATTCTTCTTTTTGTGTTTTTGTGCATTCAATGCAAGAAAATTGGATTGTTCTTAGCATATGCTAACTAACTATGCTAATCATGGGGAAAAAGCTAACCTGGCTCTGTCCAAGTAAACAAAAACGTCTACAACACCAGAGTTTGCTTATGGTGCCTAAACTTAACCAAGCGGAAACAGGGACAGCAACAAAAACAGAAAACAGCAATTGAAAAGAGGAAACAGAAATGACAGAAAACAGTTACTGAAAACAGCATTAGTAAAAAAAAAGAAAAAACAGCCACAGGAAGCAGCAACTGAAAACAGAAACAGAAAAAGAAGGAAAAGAAAACGTTTAATAGTGGCTGAAAAAAATGAGAACGAGGACAACAAATAGCAACAGAAAATGACAGACAGCGATGACTGAAAACAGCATGAGTGAACAACAAAAATAAAAATAAAAAAAGCCACAGGAAGCAGCAACCTAAAACAGGGATTGAAACTGGACCAAAAACAGCAGAAAACACAGAAAACTGAGACAATAAATGAGAGAAAACAGCGGCTGAAAAAAGGGACTGAAAGTAAACAGTGAGTGAAAACTGTGACAGCAAAAGAAAGAAAACAGCAACTGAAATCAGCAATGGAAAACCACAACCGTTAACAATGACTGAAAAACAAGAACAACAGAAAATGACAGAAAGCAGTGACCGAAAACTGCAACAGAAAACAGCAACAAAACACAAAAAAAGTCATAGAAAACAACTGGAAACAGGGACCAAAGACAAAAGAAAAACAGGGACGATCGAAAACAGTGACAGAACATGAACATGAGATTAAAATGTCCATTTTACTGTGTGGAAATGTAGATTGTACGACAGTTGTTAGATGTTTCTGGATTTGTTTTTCGACCGACGTGAGAAAGATTCTTTCATTTAATTCTCATTCTAATAATTTAAAGGCGTAAAAACACCAAGCTCCACCGACACCCCACCAGCTTGCTGCTAATTTTGACTTTAATTGGCTTCTGTGATACGTAATCCGTCTGCCTGCAGGAACATTAATTACAGTCTCCTGTCCAGAAATGAGTAGTGTCACTTTCTTGCAGCTCCTTTCCCTTTTCTCTTTCATTACACTCTGAAGATAACAGGCCTGATGTGAGCTCGCAGTTCCTTGTCAGGCAATCGGATTTTATTAGATCCTTTTCTTCCCGAGTTCAAATAGCCTTCGGAAAGCCATTACACAGGAAAGCTTGGCCGAATTCTTTGCCGCCATTAGTGGTTGTAATTATAGAAGTGTTCTCAAGCTGACTCATAAAGAGTTTTTTCCTGCACGAAGGGACGGAGGAGGGTCGGAGAGCTGCAGTGGGTCCGAGTTTGTCTATTTTATCTTACAGCTGCGAAAACACATCAACAGATTCTTAACCTCTGAGTCAGATTCTTTTTTTGTTATCACACAAACTTCTTCTGTTGTCGTTAAATCTACTCCTCACTCACACTGTGTCCGATTTAATGTCAGCTAGCAGCGTAATTATCATCCTTTTTATCCACAAGAACGGTTTGTTATTTATTTTTGTCTATAAAAATTAGATAAAGAATAATCAACCTCATGTGGCTAATAAGCAGTGCACAGACCCACATGACTCAAAACGGTCTAACATGACAACAACTTGACCAGAGTGACTCAAAAAATGTCCAACGTGACTTAAAATTGGTTCAATCTGACAAAAAACTCTGTCCAAAATGACCCAAAACTGTCCACATTGACAACATTTTTCAGAAATCAATCATAATTTGTCCAAAATATCTCAGAACTGACCAACATGAAGAAAAAACTAATCCACAGGGACTCAAATTTGTGAAACGCGTCATGAAACTTGTTTAAAATAATAGAAATCTGTCCAAAAGACAGATTTTTTTCAAAATGACTCCAAAAATGACCCCAAATGTGTCCAAAATGACTCAAAATGTGTCCAGTGCAGCAAAAACTGTACCTAAAATAACTCTAAATTTGTCCAACATGATGTAATAACTGTCCAAAATGACAGATAATTGTTTAAAACGATTTCATATTTGTCCAAATTTGTCCAAAATAACTCAAATCTGGCTGAAATGACAAAAACTTGTCCAAAATCACTCATTATGTCCAAAAATGTGTCTAAAAGGACTGAAAATCTGTCCACCATGACTTAAATTTGTCCAAAATACAGCAAAGTCTGGCTAAAATGACAAAACCTTGTCAAAAGATCAAACATTTTGTCCATAATTTGCACTACGTCTCAAAATGTGTCCAATGTGACACAAAAGTGTTTTAAATGATTCAAAATGCGGCCAATATAGCTTAAAACTTCATGAAAAATGTCATGAAACTTGTCCAAAATGACAGAAAACTGTCCAAAAGGCTGACTTTTTTTTTCAAAATGACTTCAAAAAATTGTTCCAAATGTGTGCAAAATGACTCAAAGTCCACCCAACATGATAAACACTGACGTGAAACTTTGCCCAATGTGACTTTAAATGTCCAAAAAATCTAAACTCTTGACGCTCCAACACACACTTGACTCCTACTGACGCTTTGTCACATTTAATACAATCTAAGCAGGTGAGTTCAGTAAATACTTAACTCATGAAAAGGCAAATTTGCTACAGAGACCAAAGCATTTTTAAAAAAAAAATCAGGCTGTAAATGTGTTTATTTCTGCTGTAAAGTGTGACATTTTAACATGGAGCTCTATAAGGACTGGGTCGGTTTTAGAGGCTGCCTCTAGTGGACATTCAGGGAACTGCAGTGAGAGGGCGGTCAGATGAGTTTTAGCAGAAAAGAACATCTGGCTGTGTACAAATCTACCTTTCAGCACCACTGCCGCTCCGCAATTATCACATCACTTCTTTGTTTAATCCAAACAGAAACAGAAAAGTTAAAACAAATAAATAAAAAAGTGGTTTTAGGGGAGTTACAGACCAAACCTTTTATCAATTAATCCATCAACACGGCAGCTTGTGCTCCGACTAAAACCACAAAAAGTCACTTTTACAGTTTAGCTTGTGAAACAAACGAGATGCAGCATGTTCACTGGTGAACTTTAGAGATGTTTTCAGGTGGATGCTTGAGCCGTACGGACAGGGACGTCTAATTATACTTTTGTTTCTTATAAACTCAATGGAATGAGTGAATTCTCAACTGTGTGTTCATTTGACTCATCTTTTGAAGTCTCATGTTTTTAATTCCAAAGTAAATAAAAATGAGAAATTTTAAGTTCAATTAACTACACTGTAAAAATAAGACCTTTTTAGTTTGTCGTAATTTTTTAAAGGATTACCCTGTTTTGTTAAATTATAGATCATATCGAGTAAAACTACAGAAAAAAAGAATTCATTTACATGTTAAATGCAAAAATCTGCCAAAAACTGTAAATATTGTCAGCATAAAATGTACAGATATTAATCATTACTTGAAAGAAAATTCTGTAAATTAAGGATTTTTAAAAATGTAAATTGATTTACATGGTGACTGTAAAAATAATTTTTAACTTTTTTTCAAAAATGTACTAATGTCCACTTTAAAAAGTCTGTCGATGTTTGTTGTTATTTGAAAGGTACATTCAGGATCTAAAAAATGTAAATAATTTTTTATCAATTATTTTACAGATTCTCCTTTTTGTTAAATTAAAAATTATATTCATCAAAATCACAGAAAAAAAAAATCATTAATTAAATGTTGACTGTAATGAAAACAAGAATCGGATACAAACTATAAATAATGTCCATATTTTTAAAAAAATAATTTTTTAAACTTTTGGACACAAATTACAAAATATTTAAGCTGTTTTTAAATGAGAAACAAAATTTTAAAAATTAAAAAAAAAAGTTAGATTTTTTTTGTTATAAAGAAACAAATATATAAATTAAAGATTAAAAATATTGGTTAATTTTTTTTAACCGTTATTTTTTTTGCAGATTTTCCCTGTTCTGTTAAATTACAGATAATATCTAATCAAATTGCAGAAAAAGGGTTACAAAAACAGACTGAAACTGTAAATAAATGCTGCCACATTTCCAGTTTGTTTTTTGTCATGGATTTTCTTTTACTACTTTCTATAGAAAACACTTATGTTTCCATCACATGACTAGAAAAGACGAGTTGATTTGACTGAATTCCCTCCGGTATGTTTTACAGTGCACATGTTGTATATTTCTCTCCCTTTCAAAAGGATTTAAAGAGACTTGTGGCGTGTTTAGTGGTTTTCCTGGAGGTTGCTGTGCTGCTTTAATACTCTTAGAATAATCCCAGAATATTTCCATACGTGCCGCAGAGCGCCACAACCTGCTGCGTCCTGGAGTTTAATGTGGCAAATTGTTCACAGTTAATGGGAATCCGCTGCCAAAACTTAACTCTAGGTCTTTGTAAAAACCAAAAAACCCAACAGGTGGGTGAACAAAAACAAAACCCCTGAGAGGCTGGCTCTGGCTCTGGCTCTGTGCCGCCGGCAGCGGAAGGGTTAAGAGTCACATGGTCGCGGGTGGAATTATCAGCCTGTAAACTGAATGTGGAGAAAAAACTGAGGAGAACAAAGAAATCAGAGTCTATTTAAAGAGAAGTCGCCGCGGATCCTGGAGCCGTGTGACTGCCGGCAACTGCACCTCCGCACTCCGCTGCGCCACGACCTGCCCTCCTGTGCACCTCCAGCGCGGCTCCGGACGGCGGCGAGGATGCGGACTTCTCTGGCTCTCTGCTGCTGCGTCTTTGCGCTGCAATGCCTCCAGAGCTCGGTGTGTGCTCCGGTGCGAGGATCCAGCAGGTACAAAGTGGCACCGGTGAGTTTTTCTGTTGTTTTTTTTCTTCTCTCCACTTTCTTTGCAAACTCGACGCACATACAGAAACGTGCAGAGACTTTTGTTTGCTTTTACGCACGGTGACTCGGTTTGGTTTGGCACCGCGTTGGAAATGATTAATTCTTTGTCATTTTGAAGGAATCTGCAGTGTTGACTCTGTTCATTCTCTCTGCGGCTGCAGGCGGCTCCCCGCCCGCTTAAACACACACATGCACACGGCAGATTGCAGCTGTTTAATTGTGCAGACTTTGCTCCAAATTACACATGAAGAATTAATTGACGTGCGCTCTCCTGCAGCCACATGCACGGACCAATGGCGCATAATGTTGTAATTAAGGAAAATGGCTGGTTGACCTGTCACTGTAATCAGGCTGCTGCTGCTTTGAAGAAATTACTGTCATCACTATTTATTTTTTGTCTGCTCAGCAGCAGCAGCAGAAGTCATGACTTTGCAGCCAAACCTGACGTGTTGTGCAGCAGGATGACAGCGCAGTGTTTTGGTCTGATCCGTGGGGAGGAAAGAGAAAAATAAAGGTTGCTGAGTTCCCCTGTCTGCAGGGCAGGAAGCTGTAATAACAGGTCTTAAAGGCATTTTGTCAACAACACCATAAAAGAGAGGGGTCCTGCATGCGGACCCGTCCCGATGGCGACACTCTCAACTGTTTTGAGGCTTTTCTGCTTTATTTTGATGCAGCATTTATCATTTTGACGTTACCCATTTGCTCTCCTCTTGTAATTTCCCTTCTGTTTACTACTCCCTGTAATTCCTGTTTCTGTTTGCATCCATTCTTCTGCTGTATCATGTTACTGCTTCCAGGACAAACCATTATTTACAGAGGCTGGTTAAGCATGCATGCTTATTCACAGGAATGTCCTGTTTACAGGTACACAGAAAAATAAGTTTGTATCCAAACAAACCGGCTGCTTGCTAAGAAATTACAGAGAAGTCTGTAATTATTACTGGGAACGAGATAGTCTTTGCCGTTGCAGATAAGGATTTATCTATTTTAGCGTGCCGTAAATCATTTGTGGTATGTTGCATGCAGTTTGAAACGAAGCGTTACATTTAGAGATGGCAATTTCCTGAGCAGAGCTTTCCAGAGGAATACTGTAAATACCACAAGGCTGGACCATCTGTCAGTCAGAAAGGAACAAGCCGTCTTATCAGGAGAAACGCTGCAGCGAGTGTCGAAGCGTAAAGCAGACAGAAAGATTACCCGAAGGTCTTTAAGGTCCTAATCCGCTCCAACATCAGATCCATATCCAGGTGAGAACATGCCGGGGCCGGTCCTCCACAACAGCCAGTCGGTTTGGTAGCTAATGATCAACAAGTCCACACAGTTTATCGGAGAGAGGAGCGAGAACTGCTGAGGAGGAGGATTATGTAAAGCTGTATGGTGCAGGAGGTAAAGACAAGTCAGAATTTAAACTCTGAGTTACAAGATGCAAGAAGAAGAAGTGCAACATCTCATAAATGTCAAATGATTCAAAACTGGGTCAGCTCACAGTAGTTGCATCACTTCTAAGTTGAGCGGCAGCTATTTCCTCTTATCTAAGATCAAAAACTACCATTTCAGACTTACTATATTAAAAATACAGGCCCCACAGTAGGAACTCGATGCAACAAAAGTCACTTCACCTTTCATTACTTTTTCTTCAATTCTCGTGTCCACCTTTATGTTTGATGACAAAGTCAGCCATCCATGGCATAAAGGATACCATTTCTGGAAATGATCTGTTATTCTTCTTTAACTGCTTTTTTCCAGCTTTTCTTTAAACCTCCCCAACACGTTTTGCTCTCATGCAGCTCCATATCATGATACTTCCACCTCCGTGCTTCACTGTTAGGATCATACATTCACTGTGGTCGTCCTGGTCAGGTTCACACCAAACATGCTGGACTCCATCTGAGTCATTTTTTTTATTGTTGCTCTCCCTTTCCCTTCAAACAACCCCAAAGTAGTCTTATTGAATTTAAGTCAGGCCACATATTTATCCAGGTCGTCGTTTTCACTTTGTTCTTTTGCATCATTTTGTACTTTGGGTGGTTCTCATGTTGGAATGTTCCTCTTCATCAGTCTTCTGCAGACTGGGAGTCATCCTCTCAGCCAGTAGTTTGGTTTGTCCACAAACATTCATCTATACATGTCATCAACACGTTTTGCTCTCATGCAGCTCCATATCATGATACTTCCACCTCCGTGCTTCCCTGTCTGGACTATGCATCCACTGTGGTCGTCCTGGTCAGGTTCACACCAAACATGCTGAACAACATTTGATCCCAACAAGTTTATCTTGGTCTCAGTTGACCAAAGAGCGTTCTCCAACATTCACCAGTCCTCTTTTCATGTTTTGGGGTTTTTTTTAGCAAAGTTTAATGTGGAGGTTTTGTGGCGACAAGAAAGCCAAGTTTTCCTTCTTGAACGTCGTCCATAGAGGTTGATGTTCTGACCTGTCCTTCACACTGTCGGAGCTGTCATAGAAACTCTGATTTCCACTGATAACCCCTGTGCCAAGTCTAAAGCAGCTTGTTTTTCAGAGTCAGATTGTGAAAGTAGTTCACTGTCCGTGGAGTCATTTTAGGACAGCAACCACGGCCGCACTGATAAGTGCTACTACGACTCCTTCTATACCTTCTGATTGCTGCTGCAACTGTGTTTCACTGACATTCAGTTGATCTTCCTGGATCCTTCTCCATCTTTGTGAAGCCTCACAGTCAGATTTTTCCGCTTTTCTTGCAATTCCTTCCCATGTGGAGCCATGATGCAGACATGCAGATAGGAACGGCCTAGATGTCCAAAACTGAGACAGTTCTTGTTTTCAGATCATGTTAATGCAGTTTGGCTGATTGGAAATCACAGGTGTGTTCACTTTTGTTGCACTGACTTCATACTTTGGGGTCTGTATTTTCAGTGTAGTCTTTCTAAAGGGATTGTTTATTATTGTTTACCAGAGAAAACTTATTTGTCAGTTCACAAATACTGCAATCATTGAGAGGTGATGCACTTTAGACTCATTTGACTCCTAAGTGATAGCGCACAGGGGTGTACTCATCTCTGTTGTGTCCCGACAAGACACATAAACAAGGTTTTTCTTCAAGCACTGCAGCGATATTATCTGAAACAGGAGAGCCGACATCCATTTTTTACATCATGAACCAGAGATTCAGACTCGTGAACATCAGAAAGTCAAGTGAGTCCAAAAGTCTTTTTTAAAAAACATTACGTCTCCATTGCATTCATCGGAGAAGCCGAGAACACTGGCTTCTCTGTCCTCTCTTGCTGAATTGCAGGAGACATTAAGGATGATGTAAAGAGGAAATTCATCAGGGCTTGATGTGTTTCAGCCTGAGGTGCATGTGAGGTTTTGGAAAGTTGGCAGAGTGATAGCTTGAATAACTTTATTACTCATGGATGATATAGATCCTGCTCAAGTGGTTGGACACTGTCAAAAAATAAATCTAACTGTGCTCTGTTTTGGAAAAATGTACCTCCCGGATCGGGCTGCTGCAGATAACAAACACTGTCTGCTCTATATTGTTCTATACGAGAACCATATGAAGGTCTGAAGTCATCTGAGGCCACATCCTCTGAAGACCTGGACTTCGGCTTTCTGTGCATATTTAATTTCTCATGCCTCTTGGGCTTTAGTGAAGGGTGAAGCGTTGTTGTTTTCATCCTCGTGTGGATTACAGCTAGTGAATAGTTTACTTTTGCTAAAAATTTGTCAGATTTGCACACGATATTAAACTATAAACACAATTAGGCTTAAATAAACACGTTTAACGAGGTTTTGTACCTTTTCCGCTGCTGTAGGATGTTTTGCTTTCACACTAATTGGTGTTGTTGTGCTTTTGGTACCACTACATGCTACAGAAAAGTACCTCCTAATGAGGAAAATTAGTTTAAATTAACCAGAAATAATTACAAGTTGCAGCAAGTGTAATGTCCCCAAAGTCTACAATGGTTCCTTCCATTCTGAACTCACTGACCCCTCTACGGTCTGGACGGTTTGGTCAACAAACTTCCGTATCAAGTTTAATCAAAGGTTAAACCTGAAGAAAAGATTCACACAGGTTCACTTGCGCTGTACAGAAATGACAACGTAAGATGGCAAACGTCCCACTTGTGGATTGATAACTGACTGAGAACAGATCTAAATGATTGGCTCCAGCAGAGGACAGATTTTTAATTACTGGCCCTTAAAATGGGGAAACAAAACAAAATTCTCAGTTAAGGATAGTATTTAAGCCCCAGAAAGTTCCTATGAGTGTATATAAATAGATGGCTCCATATTTTCAACTAAAAATACAGTCTTTGGTCGACATTTCACCAACTTTCGAGTCTCTAACATCAGTAGAATCTGATGTGTTGCAAGACAAGATTACAGTTTTTTGTGGTTTTGACTTGAAACCTTTTAAAAATGACTCAAAATTTGTTCAAAATGACTTAAAAATTCCTCCAATATGTATAAAAATGTGTCCAACGTTAGATAAAGGCTGGCCAAAGGGACTTAAATCTTTCCAGAATGACTCAAAATTGCTATCAATGGTATTAATGAATCACTCGTCCTTAAAAATAGAAAAAAAGTGCAGGTGGTTCAAACAATGGTGGTATCGTGTCCCCATAAAGTTCCTCTCAGTGTATATATCTATGGATGGATCCATGTTTCCACTAAAATACAGTCTTTGGTTGACATGTCACCAACAGTTGAGGCATCTAATTGTCCAAGATGGATGAAAATTACACAAATTTCCTAAAGATTTGACTGTCTATGATGTTTTCTTCAACCAAACCATGTTAATTTTGGTGCGTAAACTTAACCGAGCTTCTAACAATATTATTGATGTGTTCCCAAATCTAACCACGTAGTAGTTTTTGTCTAAATCCAACTAAACAGCAGGAGAAAATGGAAACTTAATGATGCCAAACTGGATGTAAACCCTGTTCTCGTGGGTCTCCATCCTCCTTTTCATACATGAA